AATTTTATTTATATAGTCTGGTAAAGGAAAACAAAGGGTCATGAGAGCTAATTTAAAAATTAGGATTTGGGAGAGAGTAGAAAATGCGATCTTCGTTGCAAGAATATCCGAGTTAAGGGGAGCCAAAACTTGTTTCTTTTTTTTTTGAACCGGTTGATCTCTTGAGTTTTCAACATGAAATTGTGAGGAGAGTCTTCTTGCCATCAATTCTAGGTTAAACCACCATTTATCTCATTCCTACATGAATTGGAACCAATCAAGAATATTTGATAAAAATTTCGTATGACTGTTCTAGTGTATTTTGGATACTTTACAATGCTCCTTTCATATTTTAGAGTTTAGAAATAGATTCCTTGTATGCCAAAACCTAGAGTTTACCATAAAAATCACTTAAATTTGATTTTTCTAGAGGAAGATGATGAAAAATGCGTTGAGAGGTGTTGCTGGAAAAACCTACATGTAAACTAAATCTTTGGGAAATTATATAAAAATATCTACTTGGTTTTTAATTCTGAAATTTTGGTTATATGTTCCTTCATATGTCTAGTTTGTGTGTGATTTATTTCAAAATTTTCTAACAAATAATTTTTCCATGAAAAATCTTGGAAGTGATTAGGTTTTGAGTTGGGTGAAACAGAGTTGCTATGTCTGCCCAGCAACTTCGAAAATTCATATAAAATCGAAATTGAAGTGTTTTGAGATGAAATTTTTATCGTAGTTGTGACTATATGTATATGTTAAGTATATTTAATTTCGTAATTTTATGACTATTATTTTATTTTATAAAAATATATCTTTGAGTATTGTCCTAATATTTTATTTTATTGTTTCTGTTGCTCTCCTTTATTATTTTGGTGCTGAATTTACTGTTGCTGCTTGTTGTTTTATTTTATTGTTGTTACTGTCTATATTATTGTTGTGCTGAATTTGTGGGAGTTATATGTTAAAATCCTTAAATAAGGAAAAAAAAAACTTGAATTGTGATATGAAGTAATTACATGATGAGTTTAGGTATGTTTGATCTACGATGAGATGTTGTATCACTACAAAAAAGCCTATTACCTACGGATAAAAATCCGTAGGTAAATTATATTAAAGTAAAAGAATTATCACTAGCAAGAATCAAACCCAAGTACCTTAAAGTTGAAAACTGATACTCCAACCACTAAACTATTAGGATATTCTAATAATAATTTACAACTAAATTATACTTATATTTATTCGTGTAAATATATAAATATATAAATATAAAATATATAAATATATAAATATATAAATATATAAATATATAAATATATAAATATATAAATATATAAATATATAAATATATAAATATATAAATATATAAATATATAAATATATAAATATATAAATATATAAATATATAAATATATAAATATATAAATATATAAATATATAAATATATAAATATATAAATATATAAATATATAAATATATAAATATATAAATATATAAATATATAAATATATAAATATAAAAATATAAAAATATAAAAATATATAATATATAAATATAAAAATATAAAATATAAAATATATAAATATATAAATATATAAATACATAAATATATAAATACATAAATACATAAATACATAAATATATAAATACATAAATACATAAATATATAAATACATAAATACATAAATATATAAATACATAAATACATAAATATATAAATACATAAATACATAAATATATAAATACATAAATAGATAAATATATAAATACATAAATACATAAATATATAAATACATAAATATATAAATAGATAAATATATAAATATATAAATATATAAATATATAAATATATAAATACATAAATATATAAATACATAAATATATAAATACATAAATACATAAATACATAAATACATAAATATATAAATACATAAATATATAAATACATAAATATATAAATATATAAATATATAAATATATAAATGTAAATATAAATATAAATATATAAATATAAATATATAAATACAAATATATAAATATATCAAAATATAAATATATTTTATATTTATATATATTTTATATTTATATATTTACACGGATAAATATAAATATAATTTATTTGTAAATTATTATCAAAATATCCTAATAGCTTAGTGGTTAGAGTATTAGCCTCCAATTCGAAGTACTTGGGTTCGAATCCTACCAATGACAATTCCCTTAATCTAATAATAATTCAAAGTTTCGAAAATATAATAAATAATAACAATATAATATAAGGTAAAGGGGTTTCGTTCCTCCGTAAGTCTTTAGCATGAGTTTAGCAAGAGTGCTCCATCCAAAGCTTTGTTGAGCGGGTAGAGTTGTTGCTAATAAGTTTATGGAAAACGGGAAGAGACTTTTCAAGAGGCGTGTGCGGAAAAGTAGTGGGTGCATGAGAGAATTTTATACCATCGTTTTACTGCGGTAATATGATAGGACTTTCAGGCGTTGGTGCGCAGGAAAAGTATGGGGGTTGACTATGAGAGAATTTTATACCGTCCGTTTTTACTTGATGGTAATATGATAAAGTGTTATTGTTTTAGTGTTGAAAATATATACTTGTGGATATTATGAATGAGTTTTGTTACATTATGATAGTGTTAGGTGAATTATATGATGACATAAATTATATGTGATAAGATACATGTTTGACTCACCCTTGCATGTTTGTGGTGTTGGTTTTCACCTGCGATGATCGTATGACTTGTGTTATGCGGGAGTAGATGTTGATGCAGATACTGTTAGAGAAGCTTAGTGGTGAGGAGCTCGTGGGGAAGTTTTTTGAGAGTTTTTTTCAAGATATTTGAAAATGTCCTTTTGAATATAATGTAATAATGTAGTGATTTTGAGGTTGCATACAAGGAATCTATTTCTAAACTCTAAAATATGAAATGAACATTGTAGAGTATCCAAAAATACACTAGAACAACCATACAAATTTTTTATCAAATATTCTTATTTGGTTCCAATTCATGTAGGAATAAGATAAATGGTGGTTTAACCTAGGATTGATGGTAAGAAGATTCTCTTCACAATTCCATGTTGACAACTCAAGAAATCAACTGGTTCAAAAAAATAAGAAACAAGTTTTGGCACCCCTTACATGGATATTCCTGCAACAAGATCACTTGGCTTGCTATACTCTATTTGGCTCCCAATCCACTGGTATATTTTCTTTTTCTCCTTCTACCTAATTTTTAAAGATCACTTGGCTTGCTCTACTCTCTTTGGCTCCCAATCCAAGTATAGATTCAATGTATCTACCTCAATTGTTCACCTCACAAGGTACACCACTTGAATTTACGAAAAAAATATATTATTACCTTCTTTTTACTCTAGTCAGGATTACCTACACACATAATGCATACAAGAAAACAACCATCAACCAATAATTTCTAAACGTGACAATTAAAATTTGCTAAGTCTCTAAGCATATAAATATGGTGCGTGTCTGTGTATAGATTCAATGTATCTGCCTCAACTGTTCATCTCCCAAGGTACACCACTCGAATTTACGAAAAAATATATATTATTACCTTCTTTTTACTCTAGTTAGGATTTGAACTCACTACCCCTAAGATTCAAGCATTACTCTAAACCATAACAATCATCATATGTTTCTTGTCAATCTATACACGTAACAAAAATTACAATGTATCCACACACACAATGCATACAAGAAAACAACCATCAACCAATAATTTCTAAACGTGACAATTAAAATTTGTTAAGTCTCTAAGCATACTTGTTCAGACACATACATGAGTATTTTTTAAATAATTATAAAATAATAGAAAAATTATAATTATTCTAATGCACATACAAGAATCAAACTCATGACTCCCACATCTCAAGGTAAGAATCTAATCAAATGAGTCACTCAATGTTATTATTAAATTCTAAATTAGTACTTAGATTTTTACTTGTTATACATAAAGAATATTTCTCTTTTTATAACTTTGTCATCATTTCTTAAAATATAATATTATTTTTTATCAAATATATAAGGGAAAAATAAAAAAATGATATATATAAAAGAAAAAAATGTGATACATATAAAAATAAGAGATAAAAAAATAAAAATATTAAAAAAATTAATAATGAAAAAGTAAACATACAGTGTTTTTAACAGTTGTGTTTTCGTTAATTAAAATAATGAATATTCTTTGTATTGTAAAATACTAATTTGTGAAATATATAAATATGATTAAACTGTTTTAATAATAAACTAATTTATGAAGATTAGTTTATCAATATAAAAAATAAAATAAAATAAAAAATTTTAACAGTAGAATAATGATTATATATGAAAAATTTACTTTTAAATTTATAAATATATTTTTGAAAGCTGTTGTGTTGAAAGAAAATTAGGCACTAAATAAAAGATTATATATTATAGTTTGAATATTTATTACAATTAGATGTTACCGACAAAAAGGTAGTTCACACAAGGATAGGGTGTTGTAGCCTTTTCCATAATGAGTGAGTACAATTAGGTTACACCTACAAAATATGTCAAAAGAAATATAGAACTTATTATCATTGTTTAACGCATTTACTATTATTTGACGAATAAATCATGTTATAGAAGAGATATCATGTATCTGTACAAATATTCCAAAACAAAAAACAGATTAAAAGTAATAAAGTGACAATTTTATGATTAAATAAGAAGATATATATTTCAAACTGCTAGTACTAAACAGTATTAATTATCTAACCATCTCTAGTTGCACTTCAATGAATCCAACCTTCTGCATTTATGATTTTGACGAATGCCACGGTTTTCAGAAGAACATAGAACCTCCAATTAAAGAGCACTAAAGCAGCCTCCTATACTAGTAAGATATCTATCAAGTCCTGTGAAAATGTTTATTATATAAACACTTGAATCCAAGAACTCTCCACCCACATCTCATAATTAATTAGCTAGTTTTCAATTTAGTTAACTCTCCAACCCATTTTCAAAGGATCATTTCAATATGGCAGCATTGTCAGATTTTGCTCCTTTGGCCATTCTAAGTTTTGTTATGGTGATTGGAATCATTGTGCCTGGGGCTGAAGCAAGGCCAAGGGCATTCTTTGTGTTTGGAGATTCACTTGTTGATAGTGGAAATAACAATTACTTGGCTACCACTGCACGTGCTGATGCCCCTCCTTATGGCATTGATTACCCTCCAACTCATTCACCAACTGGTCGTTTCTCCAATGGCTACAACATTCCTGATCTTATCAGTTCAGTTTACATATCTCTCTCTTTTCCCACCTTTTTTTCTTTTGAGACTTTGAACCCTTTTTGGTCTTGTAGCTTTGCATATGATAATGAACTTGAAAAAGACACACAGTGTATGTCTAACTACGGGGGTTGTGTTCAGGTCAGGAACTTGGTGCTGAGTCTACATTGCCATACTTGAGTCCAGAATTAAGAGGAAATAAGCTCCTGGTTGGTGCCAATTTCGCTTCAGCTGGAATTGGAATCCTTAATGACACTGGAATTCAGTTTGTAAGTTCATTACTTACAAGTTTTGTTCAAAACCTTACAAGAATCAGAATATAATATTAATTGCACTTGAAAATGATTGCAGGTAAACGTAATCAGAATGTATAGACAGTTTGAGTATTTTAAAGAGTACCAAAACCGAGTGAGTGCTCTAATTGGAGCTTCACAAACCAAGAGCTTGGTGAATCAAGCTCTAGTCCTCATCACTGTAGGAGGCAATGATTTTGTTAACAACTATTTCTTGGTGCCCAATTCAGCAAGGTCTCGCCAATACCCACTACCACAATATGTGACGTATCTCATATCTGAGTACCAAAAACTTTTGCAGGTAGCACCCTGTTGATAAACAAAATGGTTAGCACATAATGTGTTGTAAACACTATTTGTCTCATTAGTGATATACATATGTTGCAGAGGCTGTATGATCTTGGAGCTCGGAGAGTTCTTGTGACAGGCACAGGACCTTTGGGTTGTGTTCCTTCAGAATTGGCTCAACGTGGCAGAAATGGACAATGTGCTCCAGATCTGCAACAAGCTGCAGCACTGTTTAACCCACAACTGGAACAAATGTTACTACAACTCAACAGGAAACTTGGAAGGGACGTTTTCATTGCTGCAAACACAGGAAAAGCACACAATGATTTCATCAGTAACCCCCAACAATTTGGTACCACACACTACTCACTGACTGTTTTTCACACTCATAGGTTTCTAATTATGGTCACAATCTGTGTCTACTTGTGCCGTCATAAAGAAATTATGAAGCAATAAACTAACATTTATATTTGGATATCTGTGTAGGATTTAAAACGTCACAAGTGGCTTGTTGTGGGCAAGGACCTTACAATGGTCTTGGACTGTGCACACCACTCTCCAACCTATGCCCCAATAGAGGGCAGTATGCATTTTGGGATGCATTTCATCCATCCGAAAAGGCCAACAGACTTATTGTGAAGGAAATCATGTCAGGTTCCAAAGCCTACATGAACCCTATGAACCTCAGCACCATCTTAGCTTTGGATGCTATCACTGCATGAAGATATATTGGCCTTCCATTCTAGTTCATCACATCTCTCTTTCTATATTTCTGGTATTGTAATTGTTATTCCTCCATATAAGTGAGGAACAAAATTAAAGGAAGAAAAAACTTCTATTTACCTAAATAGTAATAATGGAGGATAAAATGCAAGATTCATTCCAAAACTTCTTTTAGTATTGCAAGTGCGACAAACATACTTTTTCGTTAAAGTGCGTTCAATAATAATAATAATAAAAAATATACTTGTAATAATGTCTCTCATACTATATGATTCTCACTAATCTTCATCATAAAAAAAAAAAACTATTATCTTAATATGCAGTCAATATTTCCAATTATATATGTATTGTATTTTTATTTTAATAGAGTACGAAGTGAAATTGTTCAATAAATCATACTAATTGATGTAATATGACTCTTCGTAATACCCTTAATAAATGATATTAAGTGAAATCTCAACTTCATATCAATTTGATTTATAAATAAAATTGTAATTATATAAATTGTATCTAAAAAATGGAAATAAATTATGTTTTTTCTCTCTTCCTGCATAAAGACTATTTTTTTTTAAATGTCATATATCTTAAAACTATCAATACTATGTGTCGTTTGCCAATGCATGTTGTATTTATTGATGGGTAAACGTAGATGAGTTTATATGTACGAAGTATGGTGTGTTTTGAAAGTCTAGTTGGTCACTTTCATATATTAAAAAAAATTATATATATAAATTATCCTTAAATTCGATATTTTAAGGGATGAAAACTTATAAACATGTTCGAAGACTTCCCATGCAAACATTCTTATCCTCCATGGTAAGTTCTTTGTCATGGACCTGTATGTTAAAGTTTTATAAATCGAATGTAAGTGCAGAAAGTGACGAAGAAGTAGACAAAAATCCATAAAGTAAATGATTGAAAATAAAATGGATGAAGCAAATAAAGTTCATAAAATATAAATTGCTGAAATGGAATAGTTGGAAACGTTATAGTCACTCGTTCATCTGTAGCGTCCCGGTAACTTAGGGTATTTACAAGTTTCAACACCGCTTATCACAGAGTATAAGTCTATTATTTATAGATTGGTCCACTATTCACGTATAAGTCTCACATAGACAAGAATTGATATTAACTATAATTTTTATATATTTTCTTTTCTTAATTTCTTAAGATTTCTTTTAAAGGTAAATTTAGACCTTTTCATCTCTCTTATGGTGTATGAGGTTTCTTATCTTTGAGTTTTTTTTAAGCTTCTAAATGCCACAGTTTCTTTTGTCAAAACCACGTACTTCTTTTATATCTTTTAAATACATGCAAAAGTTACTCAATCTAATTTATCAAGTATTTTACTTTGGAAGAAAAGATTGTTCAATTTAATTTTAGTCAATTTAGTGAAAAAAAATATAAATTTAATTAAGATTAACCGGTTTTAAAATTAAACTACGTTATGTGTCAAACTCAACATAGCTTGATTCACGATTAATGCTTACATTATTTATTCTATTAATTATTCACCTATTTTTAAGATCTTTAAGGATTAAAAAATTACATGAATTAAATTTTTTTTTCATCTTTCAAATCTATTACGTATTTTTTTTCTTAATTATTGGAGCGTTCTCGATATCCCCCATAGCTGGAGCTGTGGGATATTTTTTCAATTAACATTGCTAAATTGGCAAGAGAAGAGAGGAAAATTCTGAACCTTAAAAAAATCGATTTTTTTTACTTAGATAATTTGAGGTATAAAATAGAATTGAGATAAACAACAAAAGGTTCAAAAGTATAAAGAAAACTGAGGAATTTATTCGAGGAAGAAAAAGATATGATGCAGAGTTAAAATATGCAAAACGCATAATTGTCTATTGATTTGTTTAAATGATTACATTATTTTTTTCTCTAATTACAAACATTAAATATGTTACTTAACTGGTCCCGTATAATATATTTTTTATTGTTTAAAATTATTTAAGCAATATTGCTTATTAACACAACATGGATGTTGTAATAATAATAAAAAATAATGTTTCTCAAAATTGCTCTCACGGTTTCAAAAAGGGTAAAATTAGGTATTATTTTATTTTGATAAAATGTGAATATTTTGACTCGCAAGTTTCAATGGGAAAGGAGGTTAAAATGATTTAATAGATTCCATACATAAGATTTGGAAGAAAAGAAAAAAGAAAAAACATTAAAAAAAGTTGAGAATATTACTTTATTATATTTTATTTAAATTATGTATTAAGAGATTTTATTATCTTTTATGAGAGAAGAAAAAAAGATATTACGTTATTATTTTGATTTAATCACTACAAGAAATATTAAAATTACCGATCGGTCAAAATCCGTCGGTAAATATGTTACTGAAATTACCTCCGATCGGTAATAATTTTATTAATTATTAAATATTTTACTTAAATTTATAACATTATTTTTTTTATAGAACCCCTCCCCCTTATATTCTTATTATTTATTATTAATTATTTCAATTATTTCTCCATATTATATTTTTATAACTTTGAATTATTGTCAGATTAAGAGAAATGTCATTGGCAGGATTCAACCCAAGTACCTTAGAGTCGAGACTGATACTCCAACCACTAAGCTACTAGAATTTTTTGATAACAATTTACAAATAAATTATATTTATATACATATATACAAATACATTTATATATATTTATATATATTTTTTTATGTATTTTTATATATTTATATATATTTATATATATTTATATATATTTATATACATTTATATATATATTTATATACATTTATATATATTTATATATATATTTTTATATATTATATATATATATTTTTATATATTTTTATATATTTTATATATATTTATATATATTTATATATATTTATATATATTTATATATATTTATATATATTTATATATATTTATATACATTTATATATATTTATATATATATATATATATTTATATATATTTATATATATTTATATATATTTATATATATTTATATATATTTTTATATATTTTTATATTTATATATATATTTTTATATTTTTATATTTTTATATTTTATATTTTATATTTATATATATTTTTATATTTTTATATTTTATATTTATATATTTATATATTTTTATATTTTTATATTTTTATATATTTATATATATATATATATATATTTATATATATATATATATATTTATATATTTATATATAATTAAATATTTATTTTTAAAATTACTTAATTTAATAAATTATTATAAATTAATCTAATTATGATTAAATTAAATTATTAAATAAAAAATATTTTATTTTTTAATTAGTGAATAATTAAATTATATTATATAATTTTACCGACGGATTTATCCGTTCAGTAAATAATTTTTAATTTACATATGAATTTACCGACGGATATATCCGATCGATAATTACTTGTTAATTTATCGACGGATATATCCGTCGATAACTAATTATTATTTTACCGACGGATATATCCGTCGGTAACATCATATTTCACAAATATTTTATATCCGTCGGTAATTTCCGTCGGTAATGATTATTTTCCGACGGCTACAATTCCGTCGGTAAATATTCGTCGGTAATACGCGATTTTCTTGTAGTGAATCAGTTATAATTGAAATATTATTAATATTTGATATTTTGTAATATTTTTACTCTACATGTACATAGAGTACATGGATAAAAAATATACTCATATAATATATTAGAAATATATATACACAAAATCCTAAAAATTCTCATAATAATAGAACTATTTAAAGCAAACTTAGTGATAAAAGGATATACCCAAACATATGGGATTGATTTATCAATTTGGGTATATCTTTTTGTCACCAATCTTACTTTAAATCGATCTATTGTACTATTTACATTGTGTTTGATATCATTGGAAGGTAGACAATCAATATCATACTCTTTTACATTTGTTGGCGATAATCTTGCTACATGGAAAAGCAACAAGCAAAGTGTGGTATTTCAGTCAAGCATAAAAGTCAAGTTTAGAGTTTGACACTTGAAATTTGTAAAGATTTATGACTAAGATTCTCTTGCAAGATCTTGAATACTCATCCACATAACCTATTAAATTATATTATGACAGTAAAACTTCTTGTGATATTGCTCATAATTTCGTACAATATGATTGAATAAAACATGTTGAAGTGGATAAATTTTTTATTACGAAAAAATTAGAAGAAAAAACTATAGAATTGCCACTACAAGAAAAAATCATTTTAGCGACCGAAAAAATCGGTCGCTAATGTAAAAAAATCGGTCGCTAATCAGTTAGCGACCGAAAGGCGTCGTCGCAAAAAGCCAAGTCGCTAATGTGTTAGCGACCGATTTTATTTCGGTCGCAAAATAGCAACCGAAATTAATATATCAAATTAGTCGCTAAATCGGTAGCAAAGTTAAAAAAATAGCGACCGATTTATATCGGTCGCTAAATCAATGACAAAGTTAAAAAAATAGCGACCGATTTAAATCGGTCGCTAAATCAATAACAAAGTTAAAAAAAATAGCGACCAATTTATATCGGTCGCTAAATCAATAACAAAGTTTAAAAAAATAGCGACCGATTTATATCGGTCGCTAAATCAATAACAAAGTTTAAAAAATAGCGACCGATTTAAATCGGTCGCTAAATCAATAATAAAGTTAAAAAAAATAGCGACCGATTTAAATCGGTCGTTAAATCAATAACGAAGTTAATTATTTTTATTTATTTTCTCTACCTCTTTGTATATTATATTTTTACTTATTTAAGTTTTTATTTATATTTATTTTCCCTAAGTCTTAAATCACTACAAGAAAAAACGCTATTAGCGACCGAAAAAATTGGTCGCTAATGGCAAAAAATCGATCGCTATTCGTTAGCAACCGAAATGGTTGGTCGCAAAAGGGCAAGTCGCTAATTTGTTAGCGACCGATTTACATTTCGGTCGCTAAATAACAACCGATAAGGTGGTCGCTAAATAATTTGGTTACTTATTCATT